TAGAAGCCGCATCCTCTCTGTTGCATTGTACCATTTTAATAGAAGCCGTGGTTTCTAACACAGATTTTACAGTAGTAACTAGTATACTGATTTCAAGAAACTGAGAAAGCAGATGTTCTCAAATCATAACTTTGTTTTGTTTTATATCTTCTTTTCCACCAAACAGATCTAATATTATATGTAAACACATTACCTGTGGAAAGCTTTCATGAATAGTCAAAATAAATAAGAAAACATAGCGTCAACAGGTGATGTATTTTGGAAAAGTTTCAAAATTTTGGATTTTTGGGGCCCAAAAATTTGTACCCTATTTTATATGAATCATGCAACATGTGCTCGTTTTTATTTATGCTCCACAATGTCCTACAACAATAGGATTATATACTAGTAGCAGTAGAATATGATTCACCTTTCTCGTGGTAATTCATCATCCATACTGTCCCCTAAAAGCAATAAATACAAGATTGTAAGTATCTGTAATATTCCGTATGGTTACTTCATCACCAAACCAAACCACTCAAGACAAGTTTCAAGACAATATCAATTACAGCTATAACACTCATGATTTGAAAACAAAAATCTGGTGGGAACTCTTTGAGTCAACTTTCACTACCATGCACAAAATTACCTCTTATTCTGCCCTTCCTATGTACTATTACATTGACTTGACCAGATAAATGTTAAACAACATAAATTTTCTCACAAAGCTGAAAACTTCAAAAGCTCTCTGGCAGGTTCCCAGTTCCTTAAAATTGCATTCTGGGATTAGTTATATAGATTTATTGGGGTCTTCAACTATTATATGAACTGTTTGGTGGACTGAATTTGTACAAATTGCAGGGAACACACATAATTGCAAAAAATGATGAAAGAGCAATGATATTCAATGACTGAGCATTGGTGATTTTTTTAGGCATTTGATTGTTTCCCCAAATCTTATAGTGTTCCACAACACAAGGATTGTATGTTCTATGTTGTATGTTCTACAAAGTATTCAGACAGTTCCCGACATTGAATGTCACTGTTGTCTCTACCGACTTTTTTTTTTGTATGTGCAAATTGCAAGTGCGAGTGATGACACATAGTGCATATTTGCCACAGAAGTCATATTCATGTTTGCGACTACATGACAGGGCTGTGCGGCAATCGTCCTATCAAATGTCAATTTTATGCGCTATCCTGGCGTCAACCAGGCTCGGTAGAACACAAGCACCTGTGGACTTTAACCAAGGATCCCCCAAAGTTGCATTCATTAGTGAATGAATCTCGGCCAGTGGAATTAGCCTTCCCATTGAGTCTGTGGCACACTCACCCAGGGTCAGGGTCAACCCTTTTGATGTTCAGCCTAAGGTAGGATATGAACTTGGGTCTATCGATCAAGAATCTGATGCGACAACCACTATGCTACCAGTGACCGGTACCGGTATCAAACTCCTGACCTACAATGTGTATATACTGATGAAATACTAACTTTGAATCTGTATAATAGTAGTCTTGGGTTTTAAAAGTTCCTTTATTAACTCCTCTGCTTTCCTGGAACTGTCTTCACTTCCAATCAGGTAGACAGGAGTCTCACAATTGTCAGCATTGTCCTGGTCAATCTGAATTACAATCAATATTTCTAAATAAAGTAAAGGGTGAACATGTGAGCGGCCATACGGACCGAGATTGAAATCCAGATAAATTTAGAAGATTCCCAATAAATAACCGCTAATTTTAAATTTCTCACTTGAATCCCAACAAAATTGATAAAATTGAAAGATTTAGCAAGCATTTGCATGGCTTTGTGAACAGCGTTTAAAACTACGATCTGTTGCTGTGTTACTAGCACACAGACATGCCAGAGTTTCCAATAACTCTTCACCTGTCACCAATAGCAGATTTTATTTAGATTCGGCTACAATACATTGTGTTACTTTTGCAACCAATGGATAAGCCAAATTATAAACCAGGAATTATTCTGCAAAAATGCTCATCATTTAAAAACATGCCAATACCCACAGAAATGTAAATTAAACATTGCAAACATTTTGCTTGATATGAAGTGTATGTTACAAAAAATACTTGTTTTGTAATATGCTCATGATCAGTTTTATTGTAAAAAGTGCAATATAGGTTAATAAATTATTATTATTATTATTATATAGTATACACATTTCTGAAGATGCTAAATCACAGTATGAAATTTGCTAAGCAAATTGATGTAGCACAAGCGACTATGGCTAATTTAGTGGAATCCCAGAATGCATATTATGATTATTCTAAAGCACATTTTTGCTGAGAATCTTGATCGGAATTCGTAATACCTCAGTCGTTACAGGCTCTACTCAGACTCTACTCAGACTCTACTCAGACTCTTCTCAGACTCTTCTCAGACTCTTCTCAGACTCTTCTCAGACTCTACTCAGACTCTACTCAGACTCTACTCAGACTCTACTCAGACTCAGAATGTATTGTAAAAAGAAAACGCAGTTGTTAAATTTGGTGATCAGTTTGGTATAATAGAAAGCATTTAAATAACCTTTAAAATAACCTGTGGTCTGCGCATGCACCTTGGTAGGACGTGTCTCACGTCGGCTCTCCGTTCCAAGTAAAACTACCGTAAAATCTGTATTAGAAGCCGCATCCCTAATAGAAGTCGCACCCATTCTTTTTGAATAATTGAGAACCAAAAATTCGTCATTTCTCATATGTGTAGATGCTCTAATAGAAGCCTCATCCCCTCTATTGCATTGTACCATTTTAATAGAAGCCGCGGTTTCTAATACAGATTTTACAGTAATCCTGTTTTTCTGCAAATTTTACTGTGCAAAATGCGTTGCGATGACTGTCGTAAAACCCGTGGAGTGAAGCTATGCCAAGGGGATTTGAATTAGTGCAAAAAGTGTGAAAACCAAAGATTTCCACTCAACCAAGATCCAGTGCTATCACCGGCTACCAATATGGCGGACAGAAGCACAACTGGGAGCCCATCAATAGACCTACCAACAACACCTTCACTCGTTGAGTGAAACAAAAGAGGAACTCGCAACACTGCAACAATACTCGCGCAGAAACAACCTAGAAATTTCAGGCATACCTGTGACCGATGTCGAGAACACTGATAACATTGCAGTCAAGGTAGCGGAGGTCGTTGGTGTCACCATCACATCCAACGACATTGATATATCACATCGACTCCATGCAAAAACACAAACAACCGTCCATCAACAATTATAGTAAAATTTATGAGGCGCACAACAAGAAAT